GGACTGGAAGTAGATCTGAAAGGTAAAATTGACACGACTTGCTAGTAGATAATAGGAGGTTAGAAGGGCCAAGAGTGACTCCCAAGTATCCTGCGTGTGCAGTCAGGTGTGTGATTATATCATCCGCTGAGATGAGATGATTGCACTCGTCCAGGGCAGCAGTGTGATGCTAAATTGACTGTCATCATTGGCACATCATGGCTTCTGCTCACAGGTGATGTAGCTCACCTCTTTCTACTCCAGGGTGAGTTTGCTTGCCTTACAGCCTGAAACCCACTTCCTGAGATGAGTCTCATGATGCTTACCCACAGATCTGGGTCACTTCCACTTCTGTTGGTTGGGCCTGGTCCTCTCAATCTGTCCTTTCCAGTGCCTTTTCTGTCCTGAGAGCTGGGAAGCCAGGGCCACTGCCGTGAACTGTGTCCTGGAGAGGGTCTTGCTCTGGCTGTCCTCCAGCTGCATCCTCCCACACAGAATAAGGACAGTGTAGGGCCAAGGTAATATGCTCCATGCCTCCTGCCCTCCAGGTACCTGGGTCCCCAAAAGTATTTTCCCAGACATCCTGAGTCGATTTCCAGGGCCTATGCAAGCCTCTTCTTGAAGGCCCTCCTCCCAGGACTGACTGGTGTGTGCAGTAACAGATAGCTTTTGTCAGGGAGGGGGATGGGTTCAGGGAGCTTGGGCAAATGGGCTAGTTGTCCAATTTTCCACACATATGTGAGGCCCCCAATGGTTCAGGAAGGAGCTGTAGATGGGAAGAGAAGAGGAAGAGGCTGTGGGGGTCTCCATTGTTCTAGTGTTAGGGGTAGGCCCACCCAAACTAGGTGGTCTTGTCTTTTAGGAGCAGTTCCACTGTGGAGGCTCCCTGGCCCCCTTTTCTGTCCTAGGGAAGGACAGGATGATGGATTCTTGCCATTATTTTTGACCTCTCCATCCTGCCCGCAGACAGGTTCAGAGAAAGTCAAAGGGAGTCTGATCCCAACTGGGAGAGGTCTCCCCTGCCTTTGCATGGCTCCTCCCACCCTGCGGCTCCAGCCCCCTCTGCTCAGCTGAAACTGTGAAGGCCAAGGTCTCCAGCAGCCCTCCAGTCCCTCCAGGGGCCCTGGCCACTCCTCAGACCTCATCTTCCTTGACCTCCAACAGCATCCGATGCTGCTGCCATTCTCTCTGACTGACACACTCCCTTGCCTCGCTTTTCCCTTTCTGCAGTGTGTCCCACATCTCCACCCTGGTGTCCCTCTTCACTAGTATCTCTGCCTGATGAACTGGATTCATCCCTGATTCTGCTGTGCCTGGCATTCAATTTCTGTTTGCTCTTTGACTAACTGAATAAATGAATGGCTCTGACCCTGCACCAATAACAAAAGGGGCAGGTCACCTTTGGAAGCCCTGCCCAGCTCCCTTCCTATGGGAACTGCATCAGCACAAAGGAGATTCCTTGCGAACTGTCTTCTTCATTTGACAACCCGTTCTGCTGACCACAGTTGTTTTTTTTTTTAATCTCTGGGTTCCCACACATATTTTTGGCCTTAAATTTTTTTTTTTTACTTTTAAATTTCAAAAGTTCTATATCATCAAGGTAAAAAAGTTTTTTTAAACAGTGCATAAAGAATAAAAATTAAATGTCCTCCTCTGAGTCCTTTTCCCAGGTTATTTCTGCATCCTTCCAGCTATTTTCTCTGCCTGTACAAACACTGATATCTGAAGTCATTTTTCTATTTTTAAGGAACACAAATAACATTATCACGTTATACATATTATCCTGCCATTTGCTTTTTCCCCCTTATTATGTTCCATAGCAACTCATGGAGGACGACTTTTTCTTTATTACTACTTTAATTCCGTAATGAGCAATCTTGTTCATATTTGCGCATACTTTGAATAGCTCTACAATGTTTCTGTGAGATAATATCATAGAATTGCTTGGTCAAAGGGTATGTACATTTTAGTATTTGAGGTGTTGCCAAATTGCCCTGCAGAAAGAGCATACCAAAATACCCTCCCTTCAGCATTATGTGAGAGCTTATGGATATTTTAAACATGTTTTTGAATCATATCCCAAATTTTAGCCCTAGCCCACATGTCCCTCCTAAAATCAAGACTTGTGCACCCGTCTTATATTTGACATCTTACCTCAGATGTCTGACATCAGCTCAAACAATATGAGGGGTCTTCAAAAAGTTCATGGAAAGATTTGTATTACCTTTTAATTCCATTTTTTTTCCATGAACTTTTTGGAAGTACCCTCGTTATGTCCAAAATAGAAGGTCTGCTCCTCCTAAGCCTTCTCCATTTCAGTTAATGGAAGCTTCATCTTTCCAGTTGCCCAGA